ATAAAAGATCTTATTTTAGTGGGAATACAGACAATGGCTATAAACAATAATGGAAAAATGACTCATAAGTGAAATTTAAAGTGATTACCTTAAAGATCAGTAACATTCTTAACCATTGATTTGACAAAGGCATAAAACAAAATTTTACAAAACTGTACTTGCAGCTACACAGACATTTCTTTTTTCTTTGCTTTTAAAGTCTTAGCTCCTGTGTATTTGGGAGAATACGGTTTTGGTTTCAGCACTTGATCTCTACTTGGTTTTCTTTGCTTTCTGTGCTGACTCTATCTGTCCATACATTGTAGAAGAGGAAAGACAAGCACCTGTATCTTTGCTTCATGTTTTATTTTTTAAGTGAATGATTCTAACATGTTACTGGTAAATACAGTATTTGCTTTGAGTTTTTCTTTTTTTTTGTTATTTTTTAAAGATTTATTTATTTTTATTGGAAAGGCATATATACAGAGAGGAGGAGAGACAGAGAGGGAAATCTTCCATCCAATCATTTACTCCCCAACTGACTGCAATGACTGGCGCTGCGCCGATCCGAAGCCAGGGTCCAGGAACTTCTTCTGGGTCTCCCACATAGGTGCAAGGTCCCAAGACTTTGGCAGTCCTTGACTACTTTCCCAGGCCACAAGCAGGGAGCTAGATGGGAAGTGGAGCTGCCGGGATTAGAACTGGCATCCATATGGGACCCCAGCACTTCCAATGAGAGGACTTTAGCCGCTAGGCCACTGTGCCAAGCCCAAGTTTTTCTTTTCTTTTTCTTTTTTTTTTTTAAAGATCTATTTATTTTTATTGGAAAGGTCGATGTACAGAGAGGAGGAGAGACAGGGAGGGAGATCTTCTATTTAATGATTCACTCCCCAAGTGACCGCAATGGCCAGTGCTGCGCCAATCCGAAGCCAGGATCCAGGAACTTCTTCCAGGTCTCCCATGTGGGTGCAGGGTCCCAAAGCTTTGGACCTTCCTTGACTGCTTTCCCAGGCCACAGGCAGGGAGCTGGATGGGAAGTGGAGCTGCCGGGATTAGAACCAGAGCCCATATGGGATCCTGGTGCATTCAAGGCAAGGACTTTAACCACTGTGCTACCGTGCTGGGCCCTGAGTTTTTTCCTTTTTATAGTTTTCTTTTTTACAATCAGTTAGGCCATTTGTAAATTGCTGTCTGGTAAATTAAGTCTTTTGCTTTTAATCTACACATGTTGGGTTTTTTTTTTTTTTGCAGAAACTCACAAGTCTTGTTATTTGGAATCTCTTTTTCAGGAATGTAGTGTAGCTCTCTGTTTCTCTAGGTCCTTAGCAATAACTTTTCAGTAATTTGAGGGTTGTTTGTTTGTTTTCACCATTAAAGTCTACAGCATCTTTTGCTAGGGTCATTCTTGTTTGTTGTATCTATAGATGCTGTTATATACAATCAATCTTAACTGTCACTGTGACTTTAACCTTTCCCTGCCTCCCTCCCTCGCTCCTCCCTTCCTTTTTTGCTCCCTCCCTTCCTTCCTGCATCCTCTACTATCTTGCTCACTTTCCTACCTCTCAGCTGTGTATTTGGGCAAATGCTCTGTAGGTTTTACTCAGCATCTCTGTCTATCTGCACCAGTTTTTCAGATCATCCAGACAAGCTGTCTCAACCTCAGCTCTGTGGACACTGTTGGCTGCATAATTCTTGGCGGTCAGGGATGTGTGTGGTGGGATGTTCAGCAGCAGTTCTGGTCACTCTGCACTGGGTGCCAACACCTAGGCATGAGAGCCAACAACACTCCCGGACATTGTCACTTGGTCCCAGAGCAGTAAAAATCTCCCTTGGGTGAAAACCTTTGATCTGGCCTGTCACAGCACAGAACTTTCCCTTATTTCCTTGGACTAATTATAAGTTTTTTTTTTTATTTGAGCAATCTTTGTTTTGTTTATTTGAAATGCGGAATTACACAGAGTGAGGGAGAGACAGAAAGACGTACCATCTGCTGATTCCCTCCTCAAACAGCTGTAACAACTAAGGCTGGGCTAGGCTGAAGTCGGGAGCCAGGAGCTTCATCTGTGTCTCCTACTTGGATGCAGAGAGCCAAGCACTTGGACCATCCTCCACTGCCTTCTTAGGTGCATCAGGGAGCTGCGTGGGGACTGAAGCAGCTGGGACTTGAGCCAGCACCTGTATGGGTTGTGGGCTTCTCAGGCTGTGGCTTTACCCACTACACCACAACGCTGACCAAGATACTATTATAAGTTTATTTCAGATGTAGATTCCTCGACGTGAATACTGTTTGCTTTGTCTACTGTCATGGTGATCTCTGTTTCTGTGCGTAGTCATTTTTAAGCATGAGCCTACCTCCAGTGAAGTTCTTCGCTCGATGACTCTTGGCTCCTGGGTCTTGATGGGAGTTTTATGGGAGTGGTTTTGGGTTTGCCCTTGAAGATCTTATGAACTTTCCTAATATCAGAGTGGTGTTTATGTTAATTTCGAAGCAGTGGTTGTTTGAATCCTAGTCTGAATGCTGTCTTTGCATGACTTCCTTTTTCAAATGCCAGCCCCCTCTAGCCACAAATAACTGCCCTGACCACCCCCAGCATACTCACAGTATTTTGCTGCACTTGCTATAGTTTTTTTTTTTTCTCCTAGTGTGGCAGATGCTGCCACTGAGTAATTAATTTGGATTTGGCTGCCAAGTAATACCAGAGAAGAAGACAGCTGGGCACAGTGCTCCTGCAGAGTGTGCGTGACTGGCAGAGAGCAGTTGTGGGTATAATGGTTGGAAGAAATGAACTGAGCAGAAAATGTTTTTGTAAAGCGATTCCTGACTTGTGTTAACTCTTGAAGGCTTTGCTGTAACATTAACAAACTAGAAGATGACATTAGAAACAGAGAATTGAACAGATGTTCATTTCTAATAGCTCTGTTTGATTCTCTTTCAGATGTATATGTATCTGATATATAAAAAATATAGAGAAGTATAAATATCTATATGTACATATAGATAATAAAAATATATTTTGTAGGGCTGATTGATGACCATAATTGTGAACAATATTGCAAATTGATCTTTGGTGAGTTGTGGAGGAAAGGGACTTGATTTCCTTTTTGTCAAAACTGGCAGTCTAAAGTCCTGTTTACCTGTGAGTGGAGTTCAGATTTTAGCTTTCCAAAACACATAAAAGTAGCATTTAGCTTTCAGAGGTTTTTGTGTGTGTGTGTTTGTTTTTAAGAGTACTGGTCTTCCTCCTGTCACTGAGCTATCATGTTAGCAAATTTCAGTCCTTCGGTTATTTACAGACTGCCATATGTAAATCCAGTTTGAATGGCTGGTGGAGGAATTGACAGCCACAGCAAAAGCACATGGATATTTAGATACAAATAATAAGTTAAATAAATTTGCATAGAAATGCAAAGCAACCACTAGCAACTTAGAGTTGGGTTGTTTTTCCAATCATTTCCTACTAAGATTAGGGTTTTTTTTTTTTAGATTAATTTATTTTTATTGGAAAGTCAGATATACAGAGAGGAGGAGAGACAGAGAGGAAGAACTTCCATCCGATGATTCACTCCCCAAGTGACCACAACGGCTGGTGCTGCGCTGATCCGAAGCCAGGAGCCAGGAATCTCCTCCAGGTCTCCCGTGTGGGTGCAGGCTCCCAAGGCTTTGGACTGTCCTCGACTGCTTTCCCAGGCCACAAGCAGGGAGCTGGATGGGAAGTGGAGCTGCCAGGATTAGAACCAGTGCCCATAATGGGATCCCGGGGCGTTCAAGGCGAGGACTTTAGCCTAGCCGCTAGGCCATGGTGCTGGACCCAAGATTAGGTTTTAATTTAGGTTGCTCACCACAACCTTAAAGAGCTTATTAACATACGTTGTAGCTAAGAGATGCTACTACTTGTGAGTTGAATTTGAAAAGAAAGTGTGTTGAGTTCCAATGAAGTCCAGAAAACCCCAGAGGATCTGAGTTCCCCTTCCTACTGGGGAGGCCCTATTCCAGAAGTGAGATCCTACCCATCAGACACCCTCAGGAGGCAGGTGCAGAGCGCTGAGACCCAGTGGGGCCCGGTGAAGAAGTCTGATCAGAATTTGACAAGACCAGTGTGCAAGCTGTGATGACAGGGCCTTGGTGCTTTGGTGGGACAGAAACTCCTGTTTTCAGGAGAGAAGCTGGATAAAAGGGGTGAGCCCGGACAGAAGTCTCATTTTCCCACTGTGGATGATGTCCTGCAAAGAAGCCCCCATGGGGGCCCGGCGGCGTGGCCTAGCAGCTTAAGTCTTCGCCTTGAACATGCTGGGATCCCATCTGGGCGCCGGTTCTAATCCCGGCAGCTCCACTTCCCATCCAGCTCCCTGCTTCTGACCTGGGAAATCAGTTGAGGATGGCCCAAAGCTTTGGGATCCTGCACCTGTGTGGGAGACCTGGAGGAAGTTCCTGGCTCCTGGCTTCGGATCAGCACAGCACCAGCCGTTGTGGTCACTTGGGGAGTGAATCATCAGACAGTAGATCTTCCTCTCTATCTCTTCTCCTCTCTGTATATCTGACTTTATAATAAAAAAAAAATAAATCTTAAGAAAAGAAAACCAAAGAAGCTCCCTTGGGCGCATTGTAGAAGGTGGAACTAACCTCGTGCTTCTCTGTTCTTGTCAGCTGCTTAGTCACTTGGCTTTTTTCCCTTCCTCCCACTGAGGACATGCTGGTGATGCAGTTGTGAGCTGATGCTTTGTGATTTCCCCTGCTCTGCTTGGGGAAGTTACTCTGTTATATTTTAATTAAGCATGTGGGATTTTTGGGAGGTGATTTTGTCTTTGGTTTCATTTCTTTAAAATGTAGGTCTTCTGTGCATATCTGGTCTATTGGAGTAGAGTTGGGTTTTGGTTTTGTTGACTGAGGATCTGGAGACTTGACAGGGTGAATGTCCTCCACGAGATTATGAGACCAGGGACAAAGGAACTGCCCAGACTTTAACGCTTATCCATCAGTTACCTGGGTGAGAGGGTTTAAAAAAGTTCCCTTGTAACCACAGAACACTACAGCAAAGTTTTTGAGACATGAAGAGGATCCTCAGCAATGAAAACTACAACCTTTTGGCTTCCTGCTGATGACATAAGGGCTTGGATCTTGTGGCTCTTTGCGATGACCCTGCACGAGATGTCTGCCCAAGTCATCCATCAAGTTGAAGAGGCACTGGATGAAGAGGAGAAGGAGACACTGCTTTTCTTGTGCCGGGATGTGACCGCTGATGTGGTTGCACCCAATGTCAGGGACCTTCTAGATGTTTTAAGCAAGCAAGGCAAGCTGTCTGTCGGGGACTTGGCAGAGTTGCTGTACAGAGTGAAGCGCTTTGACCTGCTCCAGCAGATCTTGAAGATGGACAAAGCAGCTGTGGAGGCGCACCTGTTCAGGCACCCTCACCTTGTGTCAGACTACAGGTAATTCCTCAGCTCCTCCCAAAGCTGAGCTTGGGGCAGGAGGGGCTCTGGACATCACTGAATGATAACAATGAGGATGGTAAGAGAGGTCACACTGCGTTCTCTTGACCTGCTATAGGATGGCACTGCATCCCCTTGAATTCTGTGACCTCTTAAAATGAGCTTGTTTAAAGGAATAGGGTAGAAGATCACAGCAAAAGTGGAAGGCACAGATGCGTTGGCCTGAGGGGTAAGAGTGGAAAGATATGAAGATAGACCAGAAGAATTTAGAGATGATAATGTTACTGGCTTCTGACACAGTGTTCTGCAGAGGAGTTTGCTAACTTGTTATGACGTTTTGGCAATTTCCAGTCACCAAAACAGGAAATACCAGTCTGACAGTAAGCTTCCTAGTATTTTTCAGAACTTTGTGATCCCTTTTAAGTCCTTGTCAGTGTGTCCTGGCTGCTAGGTTTAGCAGGGTGGGATCCCATCCTGTGCCACCAGGGAAGACCAAATTAAAAATCTCAGTGAAGCACCTGTGAGCTTCCTCAGCTCAAAAAGGAAGCAGACACCGGGATCCCCTATAGTTCAGACAGCTTTTGAGGTGTTCCCTTTTTCTGAGTACAGGATTCTGTCTTGAAGATTCAGGTGGACCTAGAAGCCACTAGAAAAGCCAAGGTTTTGGGAGAAAGAAAAGAGAACTTGTAAGCTTGGATTGATAAATCTTTTTTTCTGCAGACCTCAGCCTTCTTCTCTTGCACTGATCATCTGTGCTTGAAGATGATTATGTCATTAAGAGCTGTATTACAGATAGCTGTAAGCAGGATGGGCTTGTTGGTGTGTAATACCTATCAGTGATGGGCCATGCAAACAGAAGCAGGCCCTAACCTTGGCCAGGGCTTTACTTACAAAGGCTATACCCAACTTTGCAAGTTGTTTTGAGCTTTAACTGTGATGGTTTCTTTGTGAAATGTTAAAAAAAAAAAGATAAAAAACAAAAAACTGAGATACTCAACAGATGCAAGTGTTTGCTATGCTAATTTTTCTTTTTAATTAATTATTTTAAAATTATTATGATCATTTTATGATACAGTTCCATAGGCCTTGGAATTTCCCCTGCCCTCACCTGAAGTCCCCTAACCCCAACTGAGTTCCCCTATATTATTACTATAGTATAGTTCTTCATAAACAGTCATATGTCCATCATAGCAGATATGGACAATAGCAGAGTCCAGCATCCCATTGTCAAGATGTAGTTAACTGTTTCATTGGTAGTCCATCTTTTTATCAATCTTGCACCTGTTCAGTTTTCATCACAGATCAGTAATTGTCCAGCATTTGGGGAGGCACTGGCAGGATGATAGTAAAGAAGGAGGGTCCTCTCTCGATTTCCTCTTTCCTCTTGTGATGAGCCAAGATCATTCTATAGGCCCTCTGGATGGAGGCCAGGCTAGATTCGCCTGTTCATCAGGGCTCTCAAGTGTTTTGGCATGTGCCAGGTGTTTGGGTCAGCTGTAGGGCAAATAGAGGAGTAATCATCCATCCTCAAGATTCTGCGAGTCTAAGGCCAGAATCATCATGACCCGGATGCCTCACTCCCTGTGTTCCAAAGTGTCTCTTTGCTTTAGAGTTTTGCAGCTCAAGGTTTGGTCCCTGGAGCCCACATCACCTGCGAGCTCATTAAAACCAGAAAACAAGGCTACTCTGAATTCTATTTCTGTCTTTCATGTTAGTCATTTGGGTTCTCAGCTCATTTCTCTGTAACCTTTGGGGAAACTGGGGATGTTCAGAGAAGTTTCCATTCTCGGAGGTGTTTTTAGAGTTGTTAATTAGAAACTGAGGTGTCATTTCCTGTTCGACATGGAGGAAAGAATGAACTTTCTTTTTAAGTCTCCTTAAGATGTCTTTCTGGGGGTGATCTAGGCTTTCTGCTTAGGGGGGTGGGGCACTAGTGCATTAGAAGGGCAAAGAACTAATCTCTCTTCATTAGTTTTTAGCTTGGAGGAGGCATGGGCTGTTGGAGTTCTCAGGAAGACTGCTGTCTGAATTTACCCAAGAAACTTCTCTGTTTTATAGGGTACTAATGACAGAGATTGATGAAGATCTGATAAAATCTGATGTGTCTTCATTGGTCTTCCTTATGAGAGATTACATAGGCCGAGGCAAGATAACCAAGGATAAGGTGAGTTTTCTTATTCTTGGTTTGTGTTCCCAAGAGTGCAGCAGAAGTTGGGGCTGCTCCTATGGTAACCAGAGGGAAGCAGGCCATGAGAGACACCTGAGGCAGTTTTTCTACATAACACTGATGGCAAGACAGTTGGTTTGGACCTGGCACAATGACTCAGTTGGCTAATCATCCCCATGCAAGCACTGGGATCCCCATATGGGCACCGGGTTTGTGTCCTGGCTGTTCTGCTTCCCCTACTAATGGAAAAGAGCAGGCGTGGTTCAAGTCCTTGGAACTCTGCACCCATGTAGGAGACTCAGAAGAAGCTCCTGGTTCCTGGCTGAGCATTGGTTCAACTCCAGCCATTTTGACTATTTGGGGAATGAACCAGTGGATGAAAGAGATTTCTCTCTGTCTCTCCTTCTCTGGAAATCTGCCTTTCCAATAAATATAAAAAATAAAAAAGGAAAATTGTTTATGAATTGAGAAGAGGGTGGGTGGTAAGATCTTCCCAAATGGCCTTGCGTGTTTCCGTCATTCCTGGATTTTATCAGAATGCCCGAGTTCAATCCTTGGCCCTTGCTTCTGCCTTTAGCTACTTGCTGATGTACACCCTGGGAGACAATGGTGTGGCTGACGTGACTGAGTCCCTGCCACCATGTGGGAGACTTGGATTGAATTGCTGGCTCCTGTCTTTAACCTTTTACCTGGCTCAGCCCTGGCTGTTGTGGGGGAATGTGCCAGCTGACAGGACATCTCTTTTTCAAGGTGCTTGCCTCTCAAATAGATTAAATTTTTAAAACTTTATTTTGAAAGAAATTCCAATTGGACTTGCCTTCTGTTGCTGATGTAAGGACAGGTCAAAAAAGGCTTGGGTCTCTAGTATATGACAATAGGTCCACAGGATGACTGAGCCCTGATGTCATATCCCAAGGGCTCTGTGTGTTCTTCCTTAAGGATTTCCTTAGGTTCCTTCTAATCTGGATGTCATAGGCAAAAGAGGAAAGAAAATGAACAATGGAACTCCTTTTATGGTTTTCCCTAATTTCTTTCCCAATCATTTCATTTACATATATTTAGTCATGATTATTATTTCTTTTTTAATTGTTTCTGATTTTTTAAGTTATTTTTGTTGATGTTTACAT